AAAAAAAAAATTTCCAATAAACTTTACGTACAAGCATTGTGCTTTAAAAGTGATAGGTATTATAAAATTTACGCCACGCTTAAAAATATAGATAAATCACAAATTACGATGTCAACAAAGGAATTTTTCCACTAACTTAATTATTCAAAAACTATTGCGTTAAGTATATTATGTTATAAAGAAATTTAAACTGTCAGTATACTTAATGATATACCTAACGTATARAACATACAATAATTAGTTTAATTACTAATTATATCATACATTTAAATCATTTAATATTTAAATATTTAACTATTTAAGTAATAACGAATAAGTGATATGCAGCTGACCACATGGTTATAAATAATGATAAAGGTATCGCCAAATATTGATAATATTATTATAATTGTATGGTAATAATAGGTATATGCGTCGTAATGATGTCATAATATTGTCATGTAATGAAGACAATACCTTTCATTGGACCCCCTCGATCCAATACGTTAGCCAAGGTCATTAAAACGTAGCTTTTATGGTCAAATTACCATACTATAGGTGTAATAAGATATTCAACTAATCAGGTACAAAGTAGGTACAACAGTTATCAATATTGTTACCTATTAGGTCGTACGGTATCGAATTTATCAGTTATAACTCCTGAACTTTACAAATGAAGAAATAGTATAAACATGCCACATTTTCCGACTATAAGACCTACTTCAATCACCAATACTTGAGGAGCTATAACTCGCAAACCAATCAACGAAATATAAAAATGTTAACGCGTAAATTTATAGTAAAAATGGTTTTATCAATTCATGACATTTTAATTATACGTTACCATTCGAAAATCAAAAGTTGATAGAGATTTCACCAATAAATATAAGGTTAAAAAAAAATTAAAATAATAATAAAAAGTTAATACTTTTCGAGATAATCAGTGTACCCACTTAATTGAACTACTCAGTACAATCGTCACTTCACTCAGATTTTTTTTCTATATTATTATAAACACAATCTGTACCTCAAGGGTATAATAAGAGTATTAGCCAAAATACAAAAATTAATACATGAACAAGCTTGATAAAAGCAGCCACTCAGCGTTAACACTTTTAAATAAGGTTGTACATCACTTAAATTTAGATTTAGATTTTTGAAAATATTTTATAAAATATATTATAATATAACAATAATTGCAAATAAAATAATGCACAATTATAAAAATATGCATACTCAAGCTATTTATGGTTTAATCATATTATATGAACGTGGTTAAATTATCATATTTGTTATGCTAATAGAGTTTATTTGCATAATATAATCAATACATTTATATTATCACGTATACTGAATCAGAAACCAGATCAATAATAAAAATAACTATTTGTTCAAAATAAAAACAACGCGTTTTTTATTGGTTGTTAATACTTAAACTTTTAAAATTAAAATTAAAATAAATTAGATAAAATGTATTTAACTATCTAAATCTAAAGTTCTTACTATTAAAGGTTACCTACCAATTCGTTAGAAATTTCAAAACTTTGAAGTTACTGTAGTAGCTTTTAGGATTAATATTATTCAAATATTCTAATTTCAATAACATGAAATACATATTCAAACAGTAGGTACATATTTTATGTAATTTTACCATATTTGCAGCTCGTTTGTATATTAACTATGTATAATATAATCATAATGACATGTTAACTTTTTTTTTATATGTCATAGCATGATAAAAGTATAATATAATTTATTAATATTTATATAATATAATGCATGCATTCATTCATATTTCACTAACTACATACAACGCCTTTTTTTCAAATGCTCTATTGAACTATTTATTTAAATGCGAGTATTCAACATAATCGCCTAGTATTTTTTATTATATTATTTTAATTCATATGCAAAAAAAAAATTATTACTATAAAGATACTGAAAATGTTGTTAAATCAAACCTAACCAACTGAATTTAAATAATGTGTATTATCATGAACATTATAGGTTTATTATTGATTAGTTTAATTTATATAAAAAATTATTCTATATGGGATCCAGGCGGGAATCCTGCTCTCAGCTCAGACGTTGGCGGCTCAGGGGACTCAGGCGCGTCGGGCACGACTCAGACGTGCATTGACAGAAGCTGCAAATTCAGACACAGTTCCAATCATCAAAACGGTACAGAAAAAATAATACACACCCACACACACACACACACACACAATACTATAATACTCAACACATATTTTTATGGTTTATCTCGAAATTATTTTCACTGACGGCATTATTATTAAACACATATAAAAATAGCACAGAGTTTTGCTCACCTCCGGATTCCCGGACATTTAGCGATTAATTTGAAATGCACGAGCTTTGAATGCAACACTATAATATACATCCCCCACCCCGTTGTAGAAATTTTTTACCAATGAAATATTGTGAGTGAAACTGATAAACGACGCATCAACGAACATGAGTCATTGCCTGCCATTTTTGTTGGTTCCTGGTTATGCATCCTCTTACTTTTATTTTTGCAATAACGTTAAAATTGTGACTAAAACGCACATCCTGTAATAGTAAAAAAATATAAGAAGTACAATATGATAAATTGCTTACTATTAATACCCTTTCTTCCAACAACAAAACACTCAAAGAGCAAAACATTCATCTTTTTTAGAATCTCGATGTTTGACAATCATYCCACAATGTTTTCCATACTCCATATTGTGTTGTTATTACATTTGTCTAGCTCAGTACTTGATCGACGTTGACGTAATAAAATTGATGGTTATAACTATTGTAATAAATTGTTTAATTATTATTTTAATTAAATAATATGTTGGATGCATTAATTTATTTTTGAAATATAGAAATACAAATGGTAATATCCATGCTGTGATCATAAAAAACAAAGCACATAACAAAAATAAAATGCGACATTATATCACTAAAAATATGCAATCCTCAGTTTGAAAACAAATAAATAGTTAGCTAACAGGTATAATGTTTAATTTTTTACAATATACTGACGAGTTTAAGTTACCTACACGTTATACGTTATAATACCATTATTAACGAATGAAAAATGAAAATTATATGCTACAAAAATGGTAGATATTATKTCGATAATGTTATACCAGAATTAAGACAGTTACCTATAGATTTTTCAAAGTGTTCCAAAGAATAAAAAAATGTTCTTGAATATTTGTAAATTTCAATTGGTTAGATCAATATCATTATAAAACCGAATACAATACGTTATATTAAAGGATACGCTCATAAATATTTTRTGTCTCCCCACCAAATTATCAATATGATATTCTGTTTTATTATTTTATCAAATATATATATATATTAATGCCTAACTTGCTAAAGTATATCTGRTATGGTAGTATTGTGCAGTCATTATGGTAGAATAAAAACAAAGTGATAACATATAAAGTAAATTTGAACTCATCAGTCGCTTCTAGAGCCATCTATTAGCATTATTACTAACGTCCAACACAATAATTAACCTGTAAAAATATGCACATCAATGTCGGTTCATTCTAATTGAAACGCCCTGTATACTATAACGGTACACTAAAAAGAACAATAGAATATATATTATCCAGATCCTAAAATTAATGGATTTTTCTGTTCTTCTAAAATTTGTATTTATTTATATTTATAATAATATAATATACTATTATTTTAATTAATCAAAAAATCTTTTTTATTCGTTCTTAAAAAATTAAGCATCATCACACAATTTTAAAAATGTTAATCCCTGAACTGAGCTGTTCTTATAGAATAAAATATTTACTTGCATTGATTTAAATACTTTTCATAAATAAGTAAATTGTAGATAAAACTAAAAAAAAAATATGATATTTTATTTAATATTTTAGGTAGACCATTCTTTAATTTTATTTTATTTTATTTTATACGAATACAACATTTGTAAAATATTTGATATTTCGTTTGTGATTTCATTACGTACCTACTTAAATAACCTAAAGATACCTAATAAAAATAATTATTTTATAAAATTGTGATGTTGGTATATTATTACATTTT